TTCTTGCCTTTGCAGCCATAAGGTTAGTTGCATAAATATGTTTTTCCCTGGAAAACTACATAGAATCATAGAATCCCTACAGTGTAGAAACAAGCCATTCAGCCCAACAAGTCCACACTGCCCCTCCAAAGAACATCCCATGCAGACCCATCCCCCTACCCCTGCATTTCCCATGTTGAACTTACCCAACCTAAACATCCCTGGACATTATGGGCAATTTAGCATGGCCAGTCCACCTACCCTGCACATCTTTGGACAGTCATGTGTCAGTTAACTCCAAAAAGGATCTAAATAAACATTCAGTTGCAAATGGCATTGGAAGTCTAGAATTAATTGTAGGCTGAAATAATGAAATATTTCTTGGGACATAATGATTCCTGTGCTGCTGGAGAAGGGAAAGCTGACACCTGCAGCAAACAATAATCCTGTTTTGTATAGTGCAAGTTTATAAAAGATTTGTATTTCACAACATTAGCACATGCCAAAGTACTTTATTAGTAATCAAGTACCTTGAAATGTAGTTACTGTTGTAATGTAGGAGCCAGTGTCACCCACGTCCAACAAGTGAATAAAAAACATATGCAGCAGCCAGTTTACATAGCGCAAAGTCCCACAAGCAGCAGTGTGATGATGATCAGATCGTCTGACTACTTCTCCATAGTGGTGTTGGTGGAGGGATAATTATTGGCCAGAACATTGACAATCCTCCTGCTGTTCTTTGAAATAGTGCCACACATTCTTTACATCCACGAGTAGGGCAGTGTCTTGGCTTATTCATTCATCCAGAATGCAAGAATTAATATTCTAGAAATTAATGTTAAGAAATATTTACATACAACCTTCTTCTTGACAATTGTGTACGTGGAACAATGATCTTGGTAGTTTAATTAATTGTACATATTCTGTAGGAGTTGAAATTTGATGAACTGAATAGTCTTTTCTAATTCCATTATTATGAACTTAAACAAAAGCTACTTAGAAGCTGGTATCTGGAGTGAATAAATAAGAAACTGGCTGTTGTCCACAAAGGGTCATGGGTATCTCTGTCTATTATGAACATAGTTGGTTACATATAGCTAGGCAGCCGCCGCTGAAATATGTTATATAACAATACTTCATTCCTGCAATGCTACTTGAATTCCAGATTCTACAACATGCAAGTAAAAATGTAATTTCCAGGGGCTTGAAAAATCTGGTGACACGTGTCTTTGGCATACAAATGCTTCCCTAAATAGTGAGATATCAGTTTGACCATGTGGTTTCTACGTGGCAAGCTCCTACCTTGCTTATAGCACTATTTGACAGGCAGAAAGTGAAGATCAGGCACTTTCAACAAACAAACAGAAAATTAAAATCTTACTTCACCTGTTGTATCTGCCAAAATATTTACCAGTTACATCAGATATGGGCATTGAACAGACATGTTCACTGTGAATCAATCACAAGTGCAAAGAGATCAGTTACGCTGATGGTCACTACTGAGTTATTTAAATATTGATGTTTACACGTTTCCATTGTGGAGTTGAGTGCACAATGGTAGCAAGGAAGGATCATTTCCTTATTGTTTGATGTTTATTGGGATTGTTCAAATGCTATACTGTTAATTAGGCATGATTAACTCTTCAGATCAACAATCTTTTCAAACAGGGCAAGAATGGTTCCAAATATTTGATGGAAAATAAATCTGCAGCTGTGTTCCAGCATCCAAGAAATTGACCCATCAGGTTGTACCTACCACCAGTGTCCACCTATCACCATCATTTTGCCTCCACCCCTCCCCTCCCTTTATCTGGAACTCCCCCTACCCCCGCATCCAGTCCTGAAGAAGGGTAATACCCGAAATGTTGACTGCTCCTTTCCTCCAGATGCTGCCTGGCCAGCTGTGTTCTGCCAGCCTCCTGTTTGTCTACCTTGGATTCTAGCATCTGCAGTCTTTTTGTCTCTAAATAATGTGTCGTTCCCCATTTGTTCTAAGGGAAGTGACTTTTACTTGTTTACTACACAGGCATTGATTAACATCCTGAACCCTTACACAAACACACATGTGCAAACCTCAAGAATTAGAACCAAGGTGATCCATTTTGCAGTGATTTCTAAGCCAATGGGAATTGTCTCAGGAATAGCCTCACCAGTTCCTCAGTATTTCATTGGAGGCAACAGGAAATGTTGACAAAACTCCAGCATTCCTTCCAAATGAGGAATATATGTTAGAAAGTAATTCTGAGATCAGGGCCAATGACATTTGTGCCATCAATAACACCATAACACTGCCATGCTTATCTGACCTACAGTCTTTCTGAAGGATAGTAGCCTTACCAGATGAAGAAGCCACCCTGGCTGGTTTAATCAGCTGAAACTACTGACCACTCTTCCTTTGGAGTGCATAAATAGCCTGCCATGAAAATTTTAAACCTGCTCAAACCCAGGAATTCATTGAGGTCAGCACAGAGACTACCTCACTGCACTTACAGCCAAAACCAAGTAGCTCTCTCAACAGGGTGTCAATGGGTGTTAATGAATAGAGGGAATGTTGATTGAATTTTTTATCCCTCTCAAACCTCAGAGCATGAAAGCCAATTTAGCACCCCTGCTACCAACCCAACAAAAACCAACTAAAAATACAGGCCAGGAATTAAAGCTAGGAATTTTAGTTATGCATGGACTAGTGCCTTCACCACTATCCCACGGAGAGCTCAGACACTTCTTCATTCAGTAAATAAAGCACTGAAGCAGTATCGTGATATCAAAACCTTCTGGCTCGGAATATGTATTGTTCTGTTGCTGAAAATTCCCATCATTAAAGAATGTCACCATATGTGGAAATGTAAATTGTGGGTTATACTAAAACCATAAGATTTCTTCTCCACTTTTTCAAAAGATTCTGTATTTATCGTGGTTTGGCAAAATGTAGTTCTGATCTAGAATTTGTAAAAGATGTGATTGTTCAAAGAAACTATCAATCCGAACTAAACAAATTACAATGTCATTTTATTCCACTGACTCCATGAGAGGAGTCTATGGTTTAGTATAATGTAGTTGTTAGCATTTTTTTTACACAAGGACAGTAATGGAGCCCAACCCTAACAGAGAAATCCATTGAGAAAATTGATCCCAAGCAAACTGGACCTGACTGCAAACTGCTCCTGAAGTGGGTGTGTGCAGATTTTTCCAATTGATTAGTTGTTTCGATTTTGACTATCTCGTTAAGAAACTAACCAAATTCTGTGTGGCTCAGTTGAATATTTAAAACCACATTCTCCAAGCTCAGATTAAGACAGAGCAGTAATGTTTTATGCTGTCCTAATGATTTTGTGCAGTCCTAATGACATTGCGCAAGTGGTATGTAAGCAAGTCATATGAACCGAACACACCCAGATTGATTGCTACCTTCTGCTGAGTTAGCGAGAGGAGCAATTGAGCTGCTTTAATTTGCTTCAGTGGCCCTGGGCAGCAAGAGGGTAAATTCACTCATTGCAATCAAGTGAAAGCCTGATGGAAAATATCCTTTATAGACTCCTAGAGCCATACAGCATGGAAACAGACCCTTCAGCCCAACTTATCCCTGGCAACCAGGTTTCCTAAACTGACCTAATTCTGTTTGTCTGTGTTTGGCCCATATCCCTCCTTATGTAGACATGGACTTGGTGATGATATGCCCACAGTTCAACAATCTGGTGACACTCGCTAGAAGAAGATTAACTCATTCACATTCCATGCACTTGCACAAAGCTAAACTGGGCCATGTGACTTCTTTCTATGGTGTTGCAGACTTGGTGGTTCTATTCAAGCAGCTTGTGTTCTTCACAAATGCAACATCTTTGCTTTTGTAGCCAGTGACCTTCACTTTGAAAAGTGTTCCTTCCAAAAAGTTCCAAGATATTTATATGTCCAGCTGATGGTATTATACATTAATATTTTAGATAACATATTTTCAGACATAGGTTTTTGGCAATTTATAATTTATTAAAATCTCTTAAGTTTGAAAAGACAAAATCTTTACTTCTATATTCCTGACATGAGAATCTTCTGCAATTTTCTGTATATTTATTTTAAGAATCAGAAAACCTGTGGCTTGTTGCGGGAACATGATGATAGTAACTAGCTGATGTGGAATTGGTGAGGCCACAGAAGATATATGGTGGAAAGTGGAGGAGGCTGCAGGATGTTTGCAGGAGAAGACAGCAAGGAGGTGCCATTTGGAAGCTCTAGTCTCGAAGATTATTGGTTCAGTTCTGTTTCAGAGACTTCAGTTCATAATTCCTGCTGAGACTCCAGTAAGTGCAGAAGGAATGCTGCACTGTTGGATATTTGTCATTGGATAAGATGATAAACAAAAGCCTCGTCTACCCATTCAGTGGGATGCAAAATAGTCATAGCACTATTCAAAGAAGAGCAGGGGTGTTCTCCTGTTTGTGTTGGTTAGCATTTATCCTTCTTTCAACATCATTAAAACAAATGTTCGGATCATTTCTTTTATTGTTTGTTTGTGCAGTCTTGCCATGTGGAAAATGCTGTTATGTTTCCTACTTTGCAACCATTACCACCCTTCAAAAGTACTGCATTGGCACTATTTCTTTGAATTGCCTTAAGTCTAAGTTTAATGATGTGGGATATGTTTGTACTTGTTGGTGCCTCAGCATTTCCTTGTTGCATAGTCCTTGTTTAAAAAGTGCTGGTTAAGGGTTGGCTAATTGGATACATTTTATGTATAAGTCTCTGTTTGTGAAATCATGAATGGGGCTAAGAGACTCTTACAATATGTGGAGTCACTTCATACACCAGTTCTTGAGATCTTTCCACAGAAACAGTCTGCTCACACACAATCCTTGAACTGTAAGAAGATTAGAGAAATATAGGAAAAGAAGCTCACAGCAAATCCAGTGAATGTATTTTCTGCTAAAACATTTTCTTTGACATTACCATATGTTTTATTTTAAATATCTGAAGTGTCAGCTGTGTAACACAAATTAATTTCTTTCTCTTTGCTACATTTTGATTAGGCTCTGGAAAATGAAGCAGAAAGCTATCACAACCAGATACAAGTGTTAGAAAATGCGATACAAAACAAAGAGCTGGAGACTCAGGAACAGGTAAGAGACAAGAAGTAACAGTGGATCAATAATGAATGGATGAAGGCTGATGCATGATCAAAAAATAGGATAGTAGATACAGATTCTGTGATAGGCTTTCAAAAGGCAATTGGATAAATACTTGAAAAGGAAAATTTTGTTGGGTTATTTAGGGAAAAGCAAGGGCATGGAGGAAATGGATACAAAGTGACTGCTGTTGGATTCTGATTGATGCTTCAATTGAAGCTTCAAGGTCATTGAATTCAACAGAGAGTTCAGTTAGAAGGAGAGGCTGGATAGGCTGAGACTTTTTGAGGTGGTTGAGGGCTGACTTTATAGAGCTTTATAAAATCATGAGGGGTGTAGATAAAGTGAATGGAAGGTGTCTTCCCTAGGGTGGGGACTTTCAAGACTAGAAGGCATACTTTTAAGGTCAAATGAGAAAAATTTAAAAAAAGATAAGGGGCAACTTTTTTACACAGAGAATGGTTCTTGTATGGAATTAACTTCCAGAGGAAGTGATGGATGCAGTATAATAACAACATTTAAAAGACATTTGGATAAGTACATGAATAAGAAATGATTGGAGAGATATGGGCCAAGCGCAGGTAGGTGGGACTAGTTTAGTTTGGGATTATGGTCAGCATGGACTAGTTGGACCGAAAGGTCTGTTTCCATGCTGTATGACAAAGGTAGGTATGATTCTTGACTAATAGGCAAGTCAAAGGCTATCATGGTCAGAAGGTGGAGTTGTGGCCACAGACAGATCAGCCATGATGTTATGCAATGCAGACATGGCTAGAAGGACTAAGTGGCTCACTTGTATGTTTGCATGTATTTGGATCCCTTTGATGCATTGCAAGAACTCAGCCTGTTGCCGGTCCTCATCTTTGTGCTAGATGCCATGACGTTTTCCACCTAAAAAGGTAAAGTTACCATAGTCTTACCAGACCATTGGGCCGCTCTGTCATTTTAGAGAGAGTCGACTGGTGATAGTTTAACCTGAGGGTCACCTTGCCTCAGGCGAGGGAGGAGGTTGAGAAGGAGAGCCACGTCAGCTTGGCAGAAATTGACTCTATGCTATTGGTATCACTGCATCATAAACCAGCCATTCAGCCAACTAAGTTATCCAGCCTCCATTTTCCATCTGATGTATGCTGTGAACATACCATCTCAGGTCAAATGCAAGTAATTTTCAACACTGTGCTGAATGACAGTTTCAGAGAAATACCCTCTGCTTGCAGTATTACATTTCCATTTCCTACACCAATTATTTTTTGTGGCCTTTCTGTAGGAGATAGCTAATTTTAATACCAATAATTACACATGGTTTTATGATTCTCGATTCTCACAGGCTAGGAATTTGAGATTGCCTAAATTAATTTAAATTAGGGCCATTAGCAAATTGAAAAATAGGGAAGTGAAGCTTAAACCCATATTGAACCTTTGTTAGTCTGCACTTCAAGCACTGTCTTGCAGTCTGGTTTCCATATTATAAAAATATATGTAAGCACTGGAGACGATGCAAAGAAGATATGTGGGATGATACTAGACACGGTATATATATCAAGAAAGGACTAACAGACTGGGTTTCCTTACTCGTATGGAAAAGAAAGCTGAAGAATTACAAAATAGAGGTCAGGTTTCAAATTATGAACATAAGAAAAGAAGAATAGGAGCAGCTGGAACCCATTCAGCCCTTCAAGTCTGCTTTGCCATTCAATTAGATCATAAATGATCATCTACCTCAAAACCACTTTCCCCCACTATTTCTGTGTCTGTCAATGTCTTAATCTCCCAAAATGTATTGATTTCTGTCTTGAACACTTTCAATAATTGAGTTTTCACAGTCCTGTGGGGTAGAGAATTCCAAAGATTAACCATCTTCTGAGTAAAGAAATTCTTCCACATCTCAGTCCTCACTCACCTACCCTTTATCCTGAGATTATGCCCCCTGGTTTAGACCAGTCAAGGGAAACATTTTATTTACATCCCCACCCCATCACATCCTGTTAAAGGTTTTGTAAGTTTCGCTGAGGTCTTACAGACCCAATCTACTCAATCTATCATCAGAAGACAGTTTATCCGAGAAAAGATTAAAGGAGGCACGTGTGGAACAGCATGGTTTGATTAGGCCAAATGGCCTGGTTATGTGCCATATATCCTATATAACCATATCCATTGAAAGAAGTAATAGTTCATAGAACAGTACAGCATAGGAACAGGTGCTCCAGCCCACAATGTTGTGCCTGAACATCACAGCAAATTAAACTAATCCCTTCAGCCTGTATGCTTCCATTCCTCTCATATTCATGTGCTTATCTAAAAGTCCCTGAAAAGCCCTATAGAATTTCCCTCCACCACTATCCCTGGCAGCACGTTCCAGACTCCTACCACTCTCTGTAAAAAACTTGGCCCTCACATCTCCTTTGAACTTTCCCCCTCTCATCTTAAATGCATGCCACCCAGTAGTAGACATTTCAACTCTGAGAAAAAGATTCTGACCGTCAACTCTATGTATGCAACTCATAATTTTTTAGAATTTATCAAGTTTCCCCTCAGCCTCCACTGCTCCAGAGAAAACAACTCCTGTTTTTCTAGCCTCTCCTTATAGTTCATACCCTCCAATCCAGGCAACATCCTGGTAAAACTCTTCTGCACTCTCTCCAAAGCCTGCACATCCTTCCTTTAATGTGGCGACCAGAATTGAAAGCAATACTCTAAGTGTGGCCTAACCAAAGTCTTCATTGATCAATCTTTCAGATTGTAAAGGTTCATCCGTTTACAATCTGGCTTCAAAAGTTAATTCTGCACGTGAAGATATCATTCTGACTAACTTCACCTTCCTCCAGTGTGCTACTGTTTTCTAGACTTTGGAGAAAAGCACCAAAAATTCATTTTGATGTGAATAGGTCTACTTTCTGTCTACAATAGGAGGTCATTTATTGATAGGTACTCAAAAAAAATTACTTTTTAAAGTTTTACTGGTCAAAGACCTTTGGAACTGGAATAGGCCACAAGCTACTTGAGTCTGTTTTGACATTTGATTAGAAAGCATTATAGCATTTTTGTTACATCTTTATCAACCTCAGGACACACTTGAGCACTTTATTGCCAGTGAAGTACTTTTAAGCGTAGCACTTGTTGTAACATAGGCAGCCAATTTATACACTGAAATTACAAACAAAAATGAGGTTAAATGACCACACAATTTGTTTTTGTCATCTTTGTTGAGGCGTAAAGATGGGCCAGGACAATGGGGAGAATTTCCCTGCTGTTCTTCAACTAATGCCATGGGACCTTTAATGTCCACATGAGAGGATAGATGGGACCTCAGGCTAACATCTCATCCTAAAGGTAGCGTCTCTGTCATTATAGCCTATCATCATTACAGCACAGTGTCGTCCTAGATTAGACCTGAATTTTGGCCTAGCTCCCTATCTATAGGTTTCCATTTTTGCATGTAAGTCTATATTGACTGGCTTATCTGGTTTGCATGGTGTTCGTGAATCTGAAGAAAGTGTGGTTTACACATTCAATACCATGCCAAGCTGCACAGCAGCAGACTTGGGTAACAAACAAAGGGTTACGGGATTCAAAAGTTAACTCCACTTTCTTTCCACAGATGCTGCCAAACCTGCTGAGCTTCTCCAAAAATTTCTGTTTTGCTTCAGATTCTCAGCACCCATAGTTCTTTGCTTTATTTTCATTCCAGAAGTTCCATGTTTTTGTAAACCCAAGAAAACTGGGGAACAAAAGATTTAAAATTGATCACGAACGATCATTCGAAGAAAAAATGTGTTTAATGATTTACGATTCACAAATGGCAGCCAAAATAATCAGCACTTCTTTCAATTTACATTCAAACTCCTGTTATGAATGATTTTTATACACATTATGCAACACAGTTGTGTAGAGATAAATATATTGAATACAAATACAAATATAATTTTTTTGTTACTTTTACAAAACCAAACAGGTTTCTTAATTTGTTTCCAGAAAAAAAGTTATTATTGAAATGTGAGAATCACTGGGAAGGCTGGCACTTATTATCCAAACCTGCCTTCATCTTCAGTACATAGGTAGTGAGCCACCTTATTAAACTTCTGCAAAATTTGTGGTGCAGTTGTTTCTGTAGTACTATCAGCTAGGGAGTTCTGGGGATTTGATACATTGATGATGAAGGAATAATGCTGCATATCCATGTTGCAATGGTGTCGAACTTGATTGGGAACTTTGAGATAATGGTGCTTCCATGCACTGCTGCTCTTGTTGTAGGTTTGGGAGCTGCAATTAAAGAAACCTTCATGAGTTGCTGCACTGTATCTTGTCGATTATTATGCAAAACAGCCATGTAGACACCTAAATGAACTTTTTTAATTCCCAGTATGGAATAGAAAGTCACCTGGAGGAATTGTAAGGAATTTAGAAGACAAATGGTATGTTAGCTTTTAAGGAATTGAATATAAGAGTAAAGACATCTTACTACAATTTTAATGGACATTGTTGAGGCCACATCTAGAGTGCCTTATACAGTTTTAGTGCATTAAAGGTGCACTAGATTGGTTCATGAGATGAAGGAATTGTCCTATAAGGAGAAATTGAGACTAGCCAGTACTCCTGGAAGTTAGAAAAATGAGCAGTGAGTTGGAATAGAAATTGACAGGGTAGACTCCAATTAAATGTTTCCCCGACTGGGAATTCTGTAATGTGGGATCACAGTCTTAGGATAATCTTGCTAGAGAATAACATTTAAAAGGATTGTAATCTATGAGATAGTGTGCCCCAGCTAACATGAATGTTCAGTCATTGAGTATATTCAACACAATAAATCAATCAACTTTTGGATACTAAAGGAATTAAGGCATTTGAAGTTATTTTGGGAAGGAGGAGTTGAGGTAAGAGATCTCCATCTATCCATACACTGTGGAAAAAGGCCCTTTGGCCCAACAAGTCCACACCAACCCTCAAAGCATCCCACCCAGACCCATTCCCCAAACCCACACATCCCTGAACACTGG